AGCAGCTGGAGAGGGATTGGCCACCTTGGTGGGAGGGGGAGGTGGGAGGAAGGGGAAAAGAAGGGCTGGGTGAGCCTCTTCTGGTCAGGGAGAGCGGGGAAGGCAAAGCAGGAAAGAAAAGCTCTGTGGGAAGAGTGAGCACTACCTCCCCTGCTAGGGTGACCAACTATCCCAGTTTGGCAGGGACTGTAGTATTTTAGGGTTGGAATTTCCACATCCCAGAAACCCCCTCAGTCCTAGGCAAACCTGGACAGTTGGTCATTGTACCCTGAGGCCCATAGGCTCCAGGACAGAGCTGGCAGAAGGGGCTCCCAAACCTGGGCCCTCTCCTCCCCCTCAATTCTCCCTTCCAAAAAAAAAGTAATAAAAGGGTGATTATTATCCTGTTGTGGGGCTGCTAAGGACCCAGAGATGGTGGAGGGGCCTCTAGGCCTCCATCTGTGATCTGACAACAATCAAGGAATCCACATACACAACAAGGTCCCCATCTTCAGGCCAAAGCCCAGCTGGGGGGGGGGAGAGGGTTAGGGATGACAGCCCACAGGGAGCTCCTGGGCTGGGAGGAGGAATGGGAGCTGACCTCTGGCTTGTCTCCTGCCCTGCTTGCATTATCTCCTGTGGGATGAGTTTTTCAGGGAGTACTTTCAGCAGATGAGAATAGAGGGGCTGCCTAGGAGGTTAAAAGCCCCATCCTTGGAGGTGTGTACAACCGCTCTTCGGCTTCAGCAGAGGGTGACCCTGTGTATCTCACTGTGAAGCACCACACCTGAATAGTTCTTAGTTGAGGCCCACTGGGCCCTGGGGGCCCTTGTCCTATTGTCCTTCCTGGTGGAGGTGACGCATGGCTGCAGCCTCAGGCAGCAGTGGCAACCAGACAGATTGGGAAGAGTTATCAGCGACCCAGGTGTGCAGACTCAGTTCTGCCTGGGTGGGCAGATCCCTCTCCATTCTCTTGCCTTCAGGCCCCCATGGCTGTTCCGAAGTGGGAAAAGGATTCCAGGAGCATCTATCAAGGTCCTTGAGAATGGGGAATGGGGGCACAAGGGCTCCTCCCCCAAGGAAGGCTAGTAAAATATTCATCCACCTAACAGAGTGTTGGTCTCCCCCATTGTATGAAATATTCTTAAAATGTCCTGTCCTAAGGAACCAAGTAACCTTGAGAATGTCCCTTCCCCAGCCTGGGCCCAGAGTCACTACCTGTAAAATAAAGATGTGGAGAAGGTGACCTCAAAAGTGCTTTCATTTCTGGCATCTAATGTTTATCCAACTAGCCCATCCATTGAGTCAAGAGACATTTATTGAGCATCTTCTCTATGCCGGAGGTTAACAACTGAGAGAACCAGATGTCTGCCTTTGGCAGGCTTCCTCTCTCATAGAGGTGGTCTCGCATTAAATAAATAGGAGTAAATATCTGCTGAGTGAGTTAATTGAGGAAACCTCTGATGGGAAAGACAGAGTCCCAAACAAGCAAGCAAACAGGAAAAAAATGCAACTTGGAGCAAACAGATAATAGAGATAGAAAGAAACTTTAACAAAAAAGTAATAAAAGGGTGATTATTACCCTCAGAAAAATAAAATATATACTCATGAAACAAGAATGGGATTCAATATATTTTATTTTATTTTTAAATTTACTTACCATGTAATGTATTTTAAAGAAAACATTTAGCTAATAAAAAGGAATCTTTGAAATTTAAAAATTTTAAAGCAGAAATCATTAGAAGGGTGGAATGACAACACTGGGCATGTTTCCTAGGATAATGGACAGAAAGAAAACCCCTGGTACCATGCACAGAATCAACATCAGAGAACTGGGGACCCCTCAATACCAGTACATTAAAGCAAAGACATTAAAAGGAGGGCCCCCTTTAAAATCCTGGGGAAAAAAGATCTCCATCTGGAATTCTATACCCAGTCAGATAATTAATCAAAATTCGGGACAGAATGGAGTTCTCAGACATGCAAGATCTCAAAGGTGCATGTATCTCCCATGCACCTTTTCTGGAAGCTATCAGAAGATGTTGTGTAGCTATAGATATGAATAAAAGCAACTCCATCTCTGTGTCGAGGATTTCATTTCATTTTTAAGTTTCATGCTGGACCTTTGACCAACCTCACTATCCTTGTAAGCATATCAAAGCCTGCTAGTTGATGGTGACCTGTGTTCCTTAAAACGTAGCCATAAAGATTTTCATTAGTAATGGCCAGGATGACATGACAACTGAGATAAATATCAAAGTAGTAAAAGTATCAATTATAAACCATCATCTATCGCAAGACCACCAGAAAAGATGGCCCCTGGTGCTGCTGCATTCATTGTCCCCTTGTCTTGTCAGTCATTAGCACCTGAGTTATAGTATTAAAAAAGTACAAAGACGGGTCTGTAGGGGAGAACAACCCGTGCATGTTGCAGGGTTGTCTGTTCCACTCCCACCCAGTCTTCCCATAAGTAAATTACCCAACAATAAATTCTGTTATATTCTATGGAGCTGCAGCTTTGTCTTTTGGTCTGAAGATACCTTCTCATTATGGTGGCAGGTATATCTTTGATTCACTGTTGGACAGATGTGTTCTGCCAAAATAAGTAAACTAAGGAGGAGTTGAGATGGGATCTGGAAAGCAAGAGATGCAACCCAAGAGGTGACAGGGAGCCTGAATAGTAGAGGAGGCTATCCCTGCGAGCCTCTGGACAGCAGGCCTCTAAAGGAGCCGAACTGAGCAGGTCGGAAGGCTCAGGGAGAAAGCTCTTCTGGAAGACTAAAGAAGAGAAGCCCTTCTAGTTGTTAGAGGACTTTATTTGTTTACCTATGTCCAGAGGAGACTCACCCAACTAGGCGAGAGTTGGGAATTAAATTAGTGATAGGCATTAAAAAAACAAAACAAAAAACGAACTCCCCCATTCCCCTACCCTTCCATCCTCCCTCCTCCCCCCCAACATACACCAAGAAAAAGACAATTAGTAAGTCCAAGGAAAACAAAAGCTGTGGGAGGAAAATGATAGTAAGAGCTCTGAAGAAAAAACAGGGAGATCTGTGAAGGTAATTAATGGGGGAACCTACTTTAACCTTGGTGGTATCAGAAGGGATGCTCTGAGGAGATGATGTGTAATGGAAGCCTGAAGTGCCAGAAGGAACCAGCTGCAGCAGGCCAGGGTGAGTTCTGGGAGGATCTTTGCATTCTGAAGCCCTCGTGTGCTTTAGAGGAGGCGAGGTGGAGACTGTGAGCTCCTCAGAGCACCTGAGAGGTGGGATGGCCCTTGCGTGGCGTGGGTGAGGTGATGTACGGGCTGTGCAGAAGCACAGTGAAGCCCCCCCGCCCCCCGCCAGGAAGACCTAACTGGACTGCACTGAAGTTTCTGATGTATTGAACTCTGGATATGTGTGCCTCCAGCTCCTGGTTGATTCACCAAATTTAGGACTTTCCCAAAATTCTCTAGCACAATAGTGATGATGCCAGACAGGGCTTCACTTGCAGCTGGAGAGAGCTCAATTAGATTATAAGAATATCTTCAGCATCAGACCACGGTATTTTTCAGGCAACACACTGCTTCCCAAGACTTCTGCAGCCTTGCTTTGTTGGGGAAGAATGAGGATGTGGTGAGTTGGGATGGTGCTCCGTGGGAATAATTTCAGCCAAAGGTGATACCTGTTTGTCCTTTGGCCCTGCCAAGAGGGCAAGTTGAGTCATGAACAGAATTCAGCCAGGTATACAGAAAGAAGGAAAGGAAGTTTGGGGGAAGAGGACTGGTGGGACACAAGTAGACTTGTGCTGTGGAAAGCAAAAATATCTAGAAAGCTTTTAAGGGCTCCCTCAGTTTTTTACTTTTCTTTTAGCTCTCTTGTTTGGAACCTCTTTCTCTTCTTCATTCCCTCTCCCCTGGGACATCCTGTTCGGAGAAAAAAGGGTCAGATATCCTCACCCTGAAGGCATATGCCCCTTCCACACAGGTAGTGTTGGGATAGTGGAGCTCAGGAATTCCAGGCACCAAGGGAGGCCACAAAGAGACTATTCTAGAAAGAGTGAAGTTCCTCAACCTCATCTCTGCTGTCAGGTGGGTAGTCCTGGGTGATGGAACTGTGAGCCTGGGTATCTCAGAGTTCCAGCAAAGGCAATGGAAGCCCAGCTGGTTCTTGTCCCAAGCTTCCTGCTACTGGGTAGGAACTAAGTCACCTCCCCGTCTGCCTCCCTAACCCCACCCACCCAGTGCAATGGGGAACTGAAGCTGGAGCCTTGGGACCTCCCTGGATAGTGGTGTGTGTTTAGGGCAGCCCACCTGCAGAACCAGCAGGGAAAGGATGTGTTTTCTTACAAAAACAGGCCTAACATTTTGACTTCTCACTGAAGCCTTGAAGGCTGTTGAGTGTTTCATACACTTTGGCCTTCTCAGCTTTTCAATGAGACACACCCTTTACCCAAACAGACACATGGATGCAGAGATTTATATTCACTCTTACACACACACACACACTGCACTCCCAAATATACATACAAATGCACACACACAAACACAGACAGAAATAAGCAGACAGTCCACACTTACTCAAACACAAATACACACTCAAACATTCCCAAACACCCGCAAATTTACACACACAGTCTCACACCCACATCCACACAAACACACATACAAACTCATTCCCACACAGAGAGATGTTACCCCCACATGTACATGTACATATAAGTACACACATAATCACTCATACGGCCCCAGCTTAGAAAACGGAGCCCCCTTTTGTTATTGTTTGAAGTTAGAAGCCTCCCACCTTCCTTGAGATTAAATTTCTTGCCCTTCCCACCATAAAAACCCCTCTGCCCCATCTTTTCTTATGTCCTGTCCAGCTAGTGCTGTGCCTTTAAGGAAGTTGAAGCTGCTAAAAGTGAGTGAGAGAGAGAAAAAAAAAGCCAAAAAAATTTGGCATCTTCCCCCTCAAGTTTCTGGTGTCACTTATGAAACACAGGTCCTTGTTGCTGTAGAGAAGCAGTTGTTTTGCTGGAAGAAGGGAGTGGGCAGGCTGCCTGGGCTCCCTTCCTGCAGTGTCCTCTCAGCAGCTGGTGCTGGGCTCCTGGGGGCAGGGACCAGGCTGCCCCTTACTCCAGCAACCTTCTCTTTCCTTGGGTGCCCTTGGCCCTGCAGATTGTCTTGGGCTAACTCTGGCCTTTGTTGGTTTCTGGTTCCATCTGAGGAGAGGCTCTGCTTGACCAAGAAAGAGTACTTTGAAGGTAAGCCAGCCGGAGGAGGGCTCCAATAGCCAGTAGGAGAAGGGGGAGGCCTGCTGGGCCCAGGGATGCCCTGAGCACTTTCCTGTTAGTTCGGGGTGCTTTGGACAATCCCTTGTTTGGACCTGCCCAAGGCATGTACCCCTCCTACAACCGCAGCCCCGGAAATTCCAGCAGCATTTGGGTTGAGTCCCTGGCCTTGCTCAAGCCGGCTGAGAGGTCCTGATGAGGTTTATTTAGGCAGCTGCCTCGCGTAGTTTTAACAGAACAGGCCATGGGGGTGCTTCTGTAGAAAGCCTCTGGTGTCTGCTGTGGTCAGGGCCAGTAGGAGCATAGGAGGGTGGTGTGGGGTGGATGGGGTGGTGTGTACTGCACAAGGGGCCTTGTCTGGGCCAGGACAAAGCATATCTATGGGGGCTCCGGTGGGAGGGACTGTGGCCAGGATGTGGGACTGCAGGAAGGAGGTTCTGTAGAGTGCTGGGGGAGGGGGCAACTAGAAAACAGATTTCAAGTCATAAAGTCAGCTAGAAATTGGCCGAGGCAGGGAGAGCTCCCCACTCAGAGGAGGAGCTGGGGTTCTCTTCCATCCTGTTGTTACCTCTCCTGGCTGCATGACCTCGGGCAAATTCTGGCCCTTCTTTGGGCCTCAGTTTCCTGTTCTGTAAAATAGGAGTGGTGGGCTAAGTGGTATTGGGTCTTAGCTAGCTTATGTGGGGCAGGGCCTTCTGATGGGGAAGAGCTCTGGGTTGGGCTCCTAATTGGGACAACTACCTTCCATGGGTGCTTGGAGTCACCACAGTGGCATATCCTTCTCTGCAGGAGGTAGGATGCAGAAGCTGTGTCTGTTGTGCTGGGCGGTCCTCCTGGGCCTGGGACAGGCCTGTCCTGAGCCCTGCGACTGTAGGGAGAAGTATGGCTTCCAGATCGCCGACTGTGCCTACCGAGACCTGGAGGCTGTGCCGCCTGGCTTCCCAGCCAATGTGACCACATTGAGCCTGTCAGCCAACCGGCTGCCCAGCTTGCCAGAGGGTGCCTTCTGGGAGGTGCCCCTGCTGCAGTCGCTGTGGCTGGCACACAACGAGATCCGCACAGTGGCTGCTGGCGCTTTGGCCTCTCTGGGCCATCTAAAGAGCCTGGACCTCAGCCACAACCTTATTTCTGACTTTGCCTGGAGCAACCTGCACAAACTCAGTGCCCTCCAGTTGCTCAAGATGGATAGCAATGAGCTGACCTTCATCCCCCAAGATGCCTTCCGCAGCCTCCCTGCCCTGCGCTCACTGCAGCTCAACCACAACCGCTTGCACACACTGGCCGAGGGTACCTTTGCACCACTCACAGCGCTGTCCCACCTGCAGATCAATAACAACCCTTTCGAGTGTACCTGTGGCATCATGTGGTTCAAGACGTGGGCCCTGACCACAGCTGTATCCATACCAGAGCAGGACAACATCACCTGCACTTCGCCCCATGTGCTAAAGGGCACACCGCTGAACCGCCTGCTCTCATTGCCTTGCTCGGCACCCTTGGTGCAACTCACCTACCAGCCCAGCCAGGATGGTGCCGAGCTGCGGCCTGGCTTCGTGCTGGCACTCCACTGTCACGTGGAGGGGCAGCCGGTCCCCCAGCTTCACTGGCACATCCAGACGCCTGGTGGCACGGTGGAGATCACCAGCCCCAACGTGGGTGCTGATGGGCATGCCCTGGCAGCCGGCAGCCAGCCACGCTTCCAGGCCTTTGCCAATGGCAGCTTGCTCATCCCTGACTTTGGCAAGCTGGAGGAAGGCACCTACAGCTGCCTGGCCACCAATGAGCTGGGCAGTGCGGAGAGCTCGGTGAACGTGGCACTGGCTACACCAGGCAAGGGTGGCGAGGATGTGCTGGGGAGCAGGTTCCATGGCAAAGCTGCCGAGGGTAAGGGCTGCTATGTGGTTGACAATGAGGTACAGCCGTCAGGTCCTGAGGACAACGTGGTCATCATCTACCTCAGCCGCACTGGGGGCCCAGAGGCTGCAGCAGCGGGGGAGGGGGTCTCTGGGCAGCAGCCCCCAGGCCTGCTCCTGCTGGGCCAGAGCCTCCTCTTCCTCTTCTTCACTTTCTTCTAGCCTTGCCCCCACCCAGCTGAGCTGGAGCAGCCCCAAGGCCTCCCTGACTCCTCCCCTTGGAGAGGTCTGGTGTTGACACTTCCCAAGGCCTGCATGGGGGACATTACATCTTCTTACTTCCCCTTCTCATCTCTTCTGGAACACTCACCACATCAACTTCTAGACTTGCTCAAAGCTAGTGACTAGGACAGAATTTGATCCCATAACACACAGTCTTCAGTGTTCCTTGCTGCTAAACACATGGCCCGTGCTCTCCTAGGGGTGCAGCATGCTAATAGAGTACTGCCCTAACCAACCGGGCAAAGCCTTATGGATGGAATTCCAGGCATTGGGACGGACCAGCTGGCAAAGCTGAGGGCTTAGAGCTTGGCAGGGAGGTAGCCTGAAGCAGACAGGGCACAAGAGAAAGGAATGGGATATAGGGTGAGTGGCTGGTGTGGTTCTGAGATTTTCAGTGACCTGCATGAGCTTCTGCTGCCCTGTGGCATTCTCTGATGATGTAGGGGCTCCGGAGCCTCTGTCCTCATCTCTGACAGGACCAGAGGATCCGGGATGGCCTTCCTTTTGTCACCCTTCCTCCTTTAGCCTCTGCCTCTCCCTCCTGGACTCCTGCCCTGCCTTTCTCTCCATGTATGCGTCTGTAGCATACCCCTTCAAAGACGCCAGCCAGCCTGGGGACAGCAGAAAAATAAATAGCATTTCTGATGCTTTCCTGTGTTTGCCTAGAGTTTTGTCTGATCTAGAAGCCCTTGTCAGGGGAAGGACCAGGCGCTGGAGAGTCAGGATGACTAGCTCGCCTGTTCACATGGGATGGGCCTGTGAGGCACACACAGACTGTGTGGCATGTAGGTGGCATGGGTGGCCCAGCGGTGGTCAAGAGGCTGGGCCTCCAGCTGAGCTGAGCTACAGATGTCCCTCCTCACAAATTATCCCCTGAGACAAATGGGGGTGCTAGCTACAGAGGCTTCCCTGAGACCCTAAGTGGTGCTTTATGCCAGTAGAGGTCTGAGGAGGCATTGCAGAGAGGCCGGAAAGAAAGTGCCTGGGTTGTGGCCCCTCTTCCTGGTCCAGTCCATGGGAGAGATGTTAGGGAGTATAGGTGGAAGGGGGAACATGTTAGGCAAGATGGAGGGGTGAGAGCAGGGAAGGGACATAGGACATAGGACACAGAGGAGAGAGGAGGGAGGGAAGAAAAACGACCCAGGGAGACTGAGAATAAGAGAACAGATTTGAGGGAGAAACCAAAGGAAATGAATGTAGTTCCTCCCACCTCTTTAGGAAGAGGAAATGGCATTCCCGGAGGAAAGTCTTTTCATAGAAGCCTTTCCCCACAGAGCAGATGGGTGGGAAGTGTGGGTGGGGATGAGGGCAGGGTTCTTAGGATGGGGAGCAGGTATATGGGGTCAGGACCTCAGGACTATAGGAACCCGTATCTGTGCTGGGCCAGATACGTCTCTCCTCTGCCTCCATCCCCAACCCTTTCCAAATCAAAGGGTGCTACACATAGGACAAGACCCTGTGGGAGAGGCTTCTGCCACCTCTGTCCAGAGCCCTCAGGACTGCTGAACCCAACAAAGTGGAGGCAGGGAGACCAAGGAATCTGGGGTAGCAGTTATGAGCCTTGGAGGCTAGCCATACCTTCTTCCCCCTCCTCCTGGCCCACATTTAGCACTTCTCCCCCCACTTCATCAGCTTGTAGCTCCCACTGAGCAAGTGTCATCAGTAGCACGTCAAAGATGACTGTATATCTGGTGGAAAGCAGCAGGAGGGAGCTGAGCCCCTGTGCTGTGCCACTTGGAATAAGTCACTGCCCATCTATGGGCTTTAATTTCCTTAGAAAACAAGACAGGCCCTGGCTGGTGTGGCTCAGTTGGTTGGAACATCATCCTGCACACCAAAAGGCAACCAATCAATGTTCCTCTCTCCCTCTCTCTCTCCTTCCCTTCTCTCTAAAAAATCAATAAAAACATATCCTTGGGTGAGAATTAAAATGCCATATTTCTGAACAAAAGAAGTGAATGAGTACAATTTAAAAAAAAAAGATGGGGTAGGACATGGTAATGCTTAAGGGTCCAGTTGACTCTGATTAGCTAAGGCTTGATAATCTTAACCTGACATGTACCTCTGATATCTCTAAGTCCATTTACAATTGAGCAGGCCTGGCTTCTTGGAGTAGGACTTGGACCTAGGACCTGAGTCAGGGGCGACTGGGGAATAGCTGTGTTCTGAATTAACTGCTACCCTCTTGCCTTATGGTCCCTACTGCCCTGGGGTAAAGCTCTGAGTTCCCCAACCAACTATTCATGGCCATTCTGACTGGCTCTCCCAGGTCCCCCACCCTGCCTCTCTTAGAACTACTAATTAACTATTCTCTAAAAGCTTTGTGATGGGTTGTCCTCTGCACCTTTACTCATGCTGTTCCCTTGGTCTGGACACCATTCCCGTTCCTTACTTGCCTAGGTTAGCCTTCGAGACTCAGCTCAGGTACCACATCCTCCACAAAGCCTTCCTGGATGCCCTGCCTCCTGCTTCCCCTCCTGTGGCTCACACAGCCCTGGGTATCCAGTGTCCCAGCCTAATCACATTCTGTTGTGACTGCTTCCTTATTAAGGGCAGAAGCCCAGTCTGCCTCCTCATCCCTGTGACCATGTTAGTCACTGACACAGGACCTGGAAGACATTTTTCACAGGCTGCAGTGGGATCAGAGCCTGCCCTCTTTGCCCTCCTCACAGGCAGCCTCGAAGGTGAGTTCCAGCTCCCTGGCCCTGCCCCTGGCTTCATGTGTGTTTGGGGCTGAGTTCGGCTGTGGGATCATGGAGGGAGAGTTGGTCTTCACTAATTGCTCAGACATTTTTTGAGGCCCTACTGATCTTGATCTGTGGAGTGGCCACATTTGCCTCACCCTTTTAGCCCCAGCCCCACAATGAACCCCACACCCTCACCCACACAGCCCCCCAGCTCCACCAGTCCCAGCAGGGAAAGGGATACTTCCTCCCACTCCCCGCTACCCTCCCCCTCTTCATTCTCCATCTTCTTCCATCAGGACCATTCCCCCACCTCCACACCTTAATTCACATTGCGTTCCCATCTTCCTTAAATCTCTCCTGCTCCCCAAGTCCTACCCATTCTTGAGGGCTCAGAATAAGTCCTACTTCTAAAGCCAATGCCCACACGGCTCAGAGGTGGCATCATAGGGTCCCTAGTCTCTCCACCACCCAAAGAGATGCTGCTAAGGGGAGGGTCTTCTCTGCCCCAACCCAGGGGAGCCCAGCCCAGCATGTGACCAGAATACCCCACCTCACCCAAGCCCCATAAACCCCATGTGGGCAGTTTTCCCCACATGGCCCTCCCCTACGGAGGACTATTTCTCAAAGATGAGTAAATTACAGGGAGTACACTAACTTCTTTTATGATATCTAAAGGCATACCAACTACAAAAGTATCAGGTTCTCAAGTGTGGACAGCTCGGTGTGGGGCCTGGTGTGAGCTATGACTTTGTTGTCAGTGAGGAGCCCACGGACTTCCTCCTAGGCTGCTGGAGCTTGAGGCTGTCCCAGCTTGAATTACCAACCGAGGTCAGCAGGAGGCTTCAGTAGGGCCCTGGAGACTGGCAGTAGGGCCATCATGCGGAGGGACCTGGATGTAGCTTTTCTGGTTCCACTGGCCCCTGGACCAAGGGCCTAAACTATCGATTGCTTTCTTCAGCCCTTGGCTTCCCAAGGCCAAGGGGGCAGACTAGAGCCCTCCTAAGGCTCACAGAGTAGACAGACCTCCATTCAACCACAGTGACCTCCAGCCTTGGGGGCTGGTCACTGGGATCCTGATCCTGGAACCTGCTGGCAGAGCTGGTGCTAAGCAGAGGGCTACCATGGCTGGGGTGATGCTGGGAGAGCCAGGCAAGGGATGGGTTGGGAAGAGGAGAAGCACGTGCACAGACGGGGACATGTGCCTTGGCATTCCCCACCCTCAGGGCTGGGGGCCATTGGGCGGGGCGCCTGACAGGGCCCTCTTCCGGAAGGCCTGGAGTGCTGGGTTGCGCAGTAGTGTGTAGGCCAGACCCCAGCGAGCCTTGCCTTGGCGGGCTCTGGGCCCTGTTTCCTTGGCCACAGGGTCCTTGGTGTGCAGCAACTGCATCCCTGAGAGGGGGAGACCTTCTGTGAGTAACTCAGCAAATCCAGCCAAGCCACC